GTTTGGCTTTCTGGGTGTGTCTATATCTATATACACGTGTGTGTGTAGTGTGTGTAGTGTGTGTGTAGTGTGTGTTGTGTGTGTGTAGTGTGTGTGTAGTGTGTTGTGTGTTAACGTGGGGAGCGGTGGTGTAGTGGTTAGCGCTACGCTGCGCTACGAACCCGGCGTCCCGAGTTCGATTCCCGCTCACGGCCACCAACGCCGGTGACGATTATCTGAACCGGTCCTGGGCCTCCCCTAGGTCGACTCAGCCTCAAATGAATCCCCGGTGCAGTTGTAAATATCAGCACTGGGGAGGCAAAGGTGGTTGGGTGGAGGGACGACCGCCCACCCCCTCGTGTGCCGTGCCGGCCTTCGCAGGTGCTCGCTAACAGCACTTGCCCCAACAGCGTTTGGGAGTCTACACGGGGGACCTTTGTCTTTGTGTGTGAACAATACACAGCTGTGTGTCCCAGTGTGCGCTTGTTACATCACGGCTGTCTGCTGTGTGTGTCTGTGTGTGTGTCTGGTGTGTGTGTCTGCTGTGTGTGTGTCTGGTGTGTGTGTCTGGTGTGTGTGTCTGCTGTGTGTGTCTGCTGTGTGTGTGTCTGTGTATGTCTGGTGTGTGTCTGTGTGTGTGTCTGCTGTGTGTCTGGTGTGTGTCTGTGTGTGTGTCTGTGTGTGTGTGTCTGTGTGTGTCTGGTGTGTGTCTGCTGTGTGTTCACAGTGAGAGATGCGTCGTCGTCCGCCAAACACCTGAACGAAGCTGACCAGGTACCACTCAAGATGAATCTGTGTGTGTATATGTGTGTGTGTGTATATGTGTGTGTGTGTGTATGTGTGTGTGTGTATATGTGTGTGTGTAGGGGAGCAGTAGCGTTGTAGCGGTTAGCGCTACGCTGCGCTACAAACCCGGCGACCCGAGTTCGATTCCCGCTCACATACAAAACCAGCGACGATTATCTAAACCGGTTCTGGGCCTCCCCTAGGTTGACTCAGTCTCAAATATGTACATGGGAGACAAAGGCGGCCGGGCGTGGTGTTGGCTACCCACCCGCTCGTGTGCCATACCGGCCTTCATAGCTTCTCGCTAACAGCACTTGCCCCAACAGTCTGTTAAAGGTTATATGGGGGTCTTTGTACATGTACATGGTGCTCAAGCATGCCTAAACAGCTTTTGTTCGGCCGGATCGAGGGGGCTAAACGGGCGCGGCACGGGCTCGAGAAGAGATGGAGTGATGTAGTACAGGAGGACGTGGAGCTGAGTGGACTTGCCGATGACTGGTACCAGCGGTGTCAAGATCGGCCTCAGTGGAGGAGGCTCGTGAAGGACGCTACTGGGCAGTTGGAGGCAGTCGCCCTCCAACAACAACGGAGGGCGGAGGAGCGACGCTCACAACAACGAGCGGAGCGCCGGGTGCCTGAAGCACAGCAAGTTGGCACAGTAGGGGGCACAGGTGGTGCATCAGCCAGTCATCTCGGTCATCTCGATCAATCGACCCGTGGCACCTGCTGAGTCTGCCCCGTGACCTCCTGCCAGCGGGCGTTCGACACTTCACGTGGCCTCAAGGTGCACTTGGCCTGGCACAAGCGTCGTGGTGACGTCACCGCCACTTAGTGGCGAATGGCGGTGGTTGTTGTTGTTTTCGAGTACACGCTGCAGTGTGGAATACATCAGCCCTTGGGAGACAAAGGCGGCCGGGCGTGTCGCTGGCCACACCACCCACCCCCTCGTGTGCCGCGTCTCCCCTTCGGAGGCGCTGCCACTCGCTAACTGCACTTGCCCCAACAGCCTGTTACAGGCTACACGGGGGTGGGATCTTTGTCTTTGCTCAGGGGAGACTGTGTCCGCTCGATCGGAATCCTTCCGGCCGCCCCGGTTAACACTGCGGCGCAACGGACGACCAGGACGCGCACTCCGCCACGCCCGCGTCACCGCGAAACGTTGAAAGAATTCCCCGCGGCGTCCGTTCATAACGAGGTCGGCCGCGATGCCGTGCCCCCGGCTTGCCACCAATTTCTCGAAACGACCTGCGGGCCGCTCCCATGGCCTCCCGCGAGACGCAGCAGCGAGGAGCGGTGCTCGCGAGTGGCCCTCGCCAGTAGCCGCGGCTACGAAGGGCGGCACTGCGGCACACGAGGCCGTGGGTGGCCCGCCACGCACCCACAAGACAAAGATCCCCCGTGTAGCCTGAACAGACTGTTGGGGCAAGTGCTGTTAGCGAGCAGCTATGAAGGCCGGCACGGCGCGCGAGGGGGTGGGTGGCCAGCACCACGCCCGGCCGCTTCTGTGTCTCTCCCCCAGTGGCGATGTTTACTACACATCGCGCCAGGTACTCATTTGAGACTGAATCGACCTAGGGGAGGCCCAGGAACCGGTTCAGATAATCGTCACTGGTCTCGGCCGTGAGCGGGAATCGAACTCGGGTCGTCGGTTTCGTAGCGCAGCGTAGCGCTAACCGCTACACTACTGCTCCCCACATATACACAATCTCCACCTATACACAATCTCCACCTATACACATGTACACAATATACACGTAGACACAATATATACATACCAAAACCGCCGTATGGCCTGGACGGACTGTAGGAGCAAGCGCTGTTAGTAGCGAGTAGCACTTATGAAGACCCGGCACGGCACACGAGGGGGTGGGTGGCCATCACCATGCACACACATCCGACTAAATTTCGATTCAATGCTTTCGTGACTGCAGGGATTCATCTTGTTGGTTCTTTCGGTAAAGTCACGTAGAAGGGAAATAATAAAAGAATAAAAATAAAACATAATAAAATACAATTCTCACGACGTTTCGGCCACAACGCAAGCAGCCGTCCTCAAGTGAAGAACAGGTCTGTCGGAAAGACAGACGCTGTCTTATATAAAAATAAAACATAATAAAATAATTCTCACGACCTTTCGGCCACAACGCAAACAGCCGTCCTCAGGTGAAGAACAGGTCTTCCCCTCCCCCAACCCAGCTTAAATAGACGCTCCAAGCCTTGTGGTGTTCATTCAGACGCTGTCTTTCCGACAGCCCTGTTCTTCACCTGAGGACGGCTGCTTGCGTTATGGCCGAAACGTCGTGAGAATTATATTTTATTACGTTTTATTTTTATTATTTTATTATGTTTTATTTTTATTATTTTATGTTTTATTTTTATTATTTTATTATGTTTTATTTTTATTATTTTATTATTTCCCTTCTACGTGATGACTTTACCGAAAGAACCAAGAAGACACATCCGACCGTCACCCTCCATATCTATCTATCTCTCTCTCGCTCGCGCGCTTGCAGGCTGTCTACAAGTGGCTCATGGGCTTCGATTTGCAGCAGTACACGCCCTGCTTCACGTCTGCCGGATATGACCTCTTCACGATGAGCCACATGACCCCTCAGGTAACCGCTCTCCGCGTCCAGGTCAGCTGTCAGCCTGCTCCTCGCTCGGAGAGGGGGGCGGGGGCGGGGGGCAGTAATCCGATTAGAGAGACTCCTCTACTTACGAACATTCGACTTACGAACTTTCAAAGATACGAACAAACCCGTGCCCGTATGTCCAGTTGCAGCTGGTCGGAGCGAGAGTCGTAAGTTCAACCGCCGTGCAATAGATGGCGGTGGTGGCATCTACATCTGCAGAACGTGAAGAACCAGTGGCATCTACATCTGCAGAACGTGAAGAACCAGTGACATCTACATCTGCAGAACGTGAAGAACCAGTGGCATTTACATCTGCAGAACGTGAAGAACCAGTGGCATCTACATCTGCAGAGCGTGAAGAACCAGTGGCATCTACATCTGCAGAACGCGAAGAACCAGTGGCATCTACATCTGCAGAACGTGAAGAACCAGTGGCATCTACATCTGCAGAACGTGAATAACCAGTGGCATCTACATCTGCAGAACGTGAAGAACCAGTGGCATCTACATCTGCAGAACGTGAAGAACCAGTGGCATCTACATCTGCAGAACGTGAAGAACCAGTGGCATCTACATCTGCAGAACGTGAAGAACCAGTGGCATCTACATCTGCAGAACGTGAAGAACCAGTGGCATCTACATCTGCAGAACATGAAGAACAGTGGCATCTACATCTGCAGAACGTGAAGAACCAGTGGCATCTACATCTGCAGAACGTGAAGAACCAGTGGCATCTACATCTGCAGAACGTGAAGAACCAGTGGCATCTACATCTGCAGAACGTGAAGAACCAGTGGCATCTACATCTGCAGAACGTGAAGAACCAGTGGCATCTACATCTGCAGAACGTGAAGAACCAGTGGCATCTACATCTGCAGAACGTGAAGAACCAGTGGCATCTACATCTGCAGAACGTGAAGAACCAGTGGCATCTACATCTGCAGAACGTGAAGAACCAGTGGCATCTACATCTGCAGAACGTGAAGAACCAGTGGCATCTACATCTGCAGAACGTGAAGAACCAGTGGCATCTACATCTGCAGAACGTGAAGAACCAGTGGCATCTACATCTGCAGAACGTGAAGAACCAGTGGCATCTACATCTGCAGAACGTGAAGAACCAGTGGCATCTACATCTGCAGAACGTGAAGAACCAGTGGCATCTACATCTGCAGAACGTGAAGAACCAGTGGCATCTACATCTGCAGAACGTGAAGAACCAGTGGCATCTACATCTGCAGAACGTGAAGAACCAGTGGCATCTACATCTGCAGAACGTGAAGAACCAGTGGCATCTACATCTGCAGAACGTGAAGAACCAGTGGCATCTACATCTGCAGAACGTGAAGAACAGTGGCATCTACATCTGCAGAACGTGAAGAACCAGTGGCATCTACATCTGCAGAACGTGAAGAACAGTGGCATCTACATCTGCAGAACGTGAAGAACCAGTGGCTCTACATCTGCAGAACGTGAAGAACCAGTGGCATCTACATCTGCAGAACGTGAAGAACCAGTGGCATCTACATCTGCAGAACGTGAAGAACCAGCGGCATCTACATCTGCAGAACGTGAAGAACCAGTGGCATCTACATCTGCAGAATGAAACAGTGAAGAACCAGTGGCATCTACATCTGCAGAACATGAAGAACCAGTGGCATCTACATCTGCAGAACGTGAAGAACCAGTGGCATCTACATCTGCAGAACGTGAAGAACCAGTGCATCTACATCTGCAGAACGTGAAGAACCAGTGGCATCTACATCTGCAGAACGTGAAGAACCAGTGGCATCTACATCTGCAGAACGTGAAGAACCAGTGGCATCTACATCTGCAGAACGTGAAGAACCAGTGGCATCTACATCTGCAGAACGTGAAGAACCAGTGGCATCTACATCTGCAGAACGTGAAGAACCAGTGACATCTACATCTGCAGAACGTGAAGAACCAGTGGCATCTACATCTGCAGAACGTGAAGAACCAGTGGCATCTACATCTGCAGAACGTGAAGAACCAGTGGCATCTACATCTGCAGAACGTGAAGAACCAGTGGCATCTACATCTGCAGAACGTGAAGAACCAGTGGCATCTACATCTGCAGAACGTGAAGAACCAGTGGCATCTACATCTGCAGAACGTGAAGAACCAGTGGCATCTACATCTGCAGAACGTGAAGAACCAGTGGCATCTACATCTGCAGAACCAGTGGCATCTACATCTGCAGAACGTGAAGAACAGTGGCATCTACATCTGCAGAACGTGAAGAACCAGTGGCATCTACATCTGCAGAACGTGAAGAACCAGTGGCATCTACATCTGCAGAACGTGAAGAACCAGTGGCATCTACATCTGCAGAACGTGAAGAACCAGTGGCATCTACATCTGCAGAACGTGAAGAACCAGTGGCATCTACATCTGCAGAACGTAAAGAACCAGTGGCATCTACATCTGCAGAACGAGAAGAACCAGTGGCATCTACGGAACGTGAATAACTAGTGGGATCTCCATCTGCAGAACGTGAAGAAGCAGTGGCATCTACATCTGCAGAACGTGAAGCACCAGTGGCATCTACATCTGCAGAACGAAAAGAACCAGTGGCATCTACATCTGCAGAACGTGAAGAACCAGTGGCATCTACATCTGCAGAACGTGAAGAACCAGTGGCATCTACATCTGCAGAACGTGAAGAACCAGTGGCATCTACATCTGCAGAACGTGAAGAACCAGTGGCATCTACATCTGCAGAACGTGAAGAACCAGTGGCATCTACATCTGCAGAACGTGAAGAACCAGTGGCATCTACATCTGCAGAACGTGAAGAACCAGTGGCATCTACATCTGCAGAACGTGAAGAACCAGTGGCATCTACATCTGCAGAACGTGAAGAACCAGTGGCATCTACATCTGCAGAACGTGAAGAACCAGTGGCATCTACATCTGCAGAACGTGAAGAACCAGTGGCATCTACATCTGCAGAACGTGAAGAACCAGTGGCATCTACATCTGCAGAACGTGAAGAACAGTGGCATCTACATCTGCAGAACGTGAAGAACCAGTGGCATCTACATCTGCAGAACGTGAAGAACCCAGTGGCATCTACATCTGCAGAACGTGAAGAACCAGTGGCATCTACATCTGCGGACGTGAAGAACCAGTGGCATCTACATCTGCAGAACGTGAAGAACCAGTGGCATCTACATCTGCAGAACGTGAAGAACCAGTGGCATCTACATCTGCAGAACGTGAAGAACCAGTGGCATCTACATCTGCAGAACATGAAGAACCAGTGGCATCTACATCTGCAGAACGTGAAGAACCAGTGGCATCTACATCTGCAGAACGTGAAGAACCAGTGGCATCTACATCTGCAGAACTGAAGAACCAGTGGCATCTACATCTGCAGAACGTGAAGAACCAGTGGCATCTACATCTGCAGAACGTGAAGAACCAGTGGCATCTACATCTGCAGAACGTGAAGAACCAGTGGCATCTACATCTGCAGAACGTGAAGAACCAGTGGCATCTACATCTGCAGAACGTGAAGAACCAGTGGCATCTACATCTGCAGAACGATGAAGAACCAGTGGCATCTACATCTGCAGAACGTGAAGAACCAGTGGCATCTACATCTGCAGAACGTGAAGAACCAGTGGCATCTACATCTGCAGAACGTGAAGAACCAGTGGCATCTACATCTGCAGAACGTGAAGAACCAGTGGCATCTACATCTGCAGAACGTGAAGAACCAGTGGCATCTACATCTGCAGAACGTGAAGAACCAGTGGCATCTACATCTGCAGAACGTGAAGAACCAGTGGCATCTACATCTGCAGAACGTGAAGAACCAGTGGCATCTACATCTGCAGAACGTGAAGAACCAGTGGCATCTACATACTGCAGAACAGGGGATCTACATCTGAAGAAGCCAGTGGCATCTACATCTGCAGAACGTGAAGAACCAGTGGCATCTACATCTGCAGAACGTGAAGAACCAGTGGCATCTACATCTGCAGAACGTGAAGAACCAGTGGCATCTACATCTGCAGAACGTGAAGAACCAGTGGTATCTACATCTGCAGAACGTGAAGAACCAGCGGTATCTACATCTGCAGAATGTGAAGAACCAGCGGTATCTACATCTACAGGTTATTATACAACTTTTAAAGCCACTCCCCGTGTTTAGTGAACACGCCGTACAACGCGTTTGGAATCGACGGGAGTAAAGTTCGTGAGCGAGAAATGAAGAAGAGCAACCACAGACGACGAGTTGATCTCCGCCTTCAACTGCAGCCTGCGCGGGCTCACGGTAGAGGTGCAGCCCTGCAAGTGCTGCTTGCTCACGCCACTGTTGGCCGGAGGGGAGGAGAGGGGCGGGGGGCAGTGGTGGTGGGGGAGGGGCAGCGATGGAAGGAAGCAGTGGTGGGGGGGAGGGGGGTAGCGATGGGGGGTTGGGGCAGTGGTGGGGGGGGGGTAGCGATGGGGGGTTGGGGCAGTGGTGGGGGGGGGGGTAGCGATGGGGGGTTGGGGCAGTGGTGGGGGGGGGGGATTACCACCCTCCCCCACACTACCTTGAGACCCCACATGTTTTTATTTATTGATGTCAGAGATAATAGAATGGAGATAAAACATTGTTATGAACGCGGGGGGCCCTGTTCAAAACGCTTCAAACTCCCCCGGCGAGTCTCTGGTGACGGCCTCTGGGTTCCGGACGCAGAGCGGTCGCTGGGGTTGAACATAAACCTGCGTCCAGATCATGCCGACCTACCAGAGGTCGCAAACGGGTTGTGATTCCTTACCCGTACCCGGCCGGGTACGGGTAGCCGGGTACGGGTATGGTACGGGTATTGGGTACCTGATTGCGACCTCTGGGATGAAGCCATGTTGCAGGCGCGGGTGGGTTGATTCTAGGAACTTGAATTGTGAGAAGAGACAAGACGTTGGGAAATGAATGACAAACGGTGACTCACCAGTGACTCACGGCCTACCCGTTACCCGTACCCGGCCGCACCAGGGTCGCAAACGGGTACCCGTACCCGTACCCGGCCGGGTACGGGTAGCCGGGTATCGGGTAGGGTACGGGTATCGGGTACCCGGTTGTGACCTCTGCGACCTACCGACCGTCGTGCCAACATCCCGGAGAGAGAGACAGAGACTCTTGACTTTTAAACAACCTTTATTGCCGCCAGCAGCAACAGCACTGGAGGCGATTCCGATACGAAACACACAAAGTCACCAGCAAAGAGAGACGGAGAGAGAAACGAAGAAACGGAGAGAGACGAGAGAGACACAGACACGGAGAGACAGAGAGAGGGGGGTTCAAGGGTCACACGAGCGTCTCCCCCCCCCCCCCCGTGTGTGCGGTGGTGCGGCAGGACGTCGCGGCCGTGGGGATCACCAAGCCGGGCCACAGGAAGATCGTCGGCTTGGAAATCTCGCGGCTCGCCGTGGCGGACGAGCTGCCGACCACCAAACCGGTCAGCCGAGGGCACTGCCCCCCGCCTCCCACCCACCCCATGCAAGAACGACAGCGCCAAATGCCAAATGTGCACTGAGTGACACGTGTTCATCGTGCGTGCGCACGTGTCTCTCGCAGGCTACTCTGCGCGAATGGCTGTCTCAAATAGGCCTCGGCCACTACCACGCCACCTTGGCTGACAATGGCTACGACAAGGTGGATTTTATCTCCGAGATAACGCTGGAAGACTTGCAGGAGATAGGCATCACTAAACTAGGTAATTGTCTCGCATGCACGCGCGCGCAAGAACATGAACACATGCACGCGAACTATATACATAGATGTCATTCTACACGACAACAACAACCACAACAACAGGCGGTGACGTGACCACGGCGCCTGTGCCAGGCCAGGTGCACTCCGAGGCCACGTGAAGTGTCGAAGGGTCTCTGCTGACAGGAGGTCACGGGGCAGACCCAGCAGGTGCCATGGGTTGGCTGACTGAGATGACTACCGGCTGATGCACCACCTGCGCCCCCTACTGTGCCATTTCGTTCTGAGCATCGCTCCTCTGCCCTCCGCTGTTGTTGGAGGGCGACCGCCTCCCTACTGCGTCCTTCACGAGTCTCCTAATTCTCCGCACACACACAAAGTACGCACACCATTGGAACCTCATTTGCCAGTAGCAGAATATGATAATTGTTTTTTTACCCTGTAATCTGGCAACAAAACTGACACCTTTTTTACAAGGAGTCATGTTTGCATTGACCACAATACCTGCGGTCGGAATGCAAACAAAAAACATAACTCTGATAATGTATGCACTGTCCTTGAAGTTGATTGATCCACTCCCGAGACAGCTTTTCTTAGAGCCTAGTCTCACATGGTGTTGGACCAGATGACGCCAAAAGGCGCACAACTCAAAGACAGTGCACCATCAGAGTATGAGAGCTCGGGGTTAAGCATTTACACCATTGGAACCTCCTTTGCCAGTAGCAAACTGCAGGTATTGTGGTCAATGCAAACATGACTCCTTGTAAAAAAGGTGTCAGTTTTGTTGCCAGATAAAAGGATAAAAAACGACCGCTGTAGCGCTCCTCATTCTCCGTCGTTTCCTCCAGCAGCACCCACGTGAGCACGCGGCTACACGCACGCGTGCTCACAACCGCTCACACTTACAACCACCGGTGCCGCCCTGTCCCGGTGGAGGCGTCCGTGGGCCCAGTGCGACAACGTCTAGGGGCAGCGTTCACAACGCGTGACCCCCTCCCGACCCCCCCTCCTGACCCCCCCCCTCACCCCCAACTTCCTGCAGGTCACCAAAAGCGGCTCCTCTTGGCCGCCAAGAGGCTCAAGGCGCTGCAACGGCGCGAGGCGGCGCAGGCCCAGAGCGCCGCCCGCCTGCCCGCCGGCACCGCCGCCCTCTTCAGCAGCGGCCCCGGTAGCGACAGCGGCCTCAGCAACGCGTCCGACTTCGCCGACGAGGGCAGCCCGGCGCCGTTCCACCAGCTGGGGCGGCGCGGCTCGCGCCAGCAGCAGCAGCTGCAGCAGCAGCTGCAGCAGCAGCAGCAGCAGCAGCAGCAGCAACAGCAGCAGCTGCAGCAGACGGCAGTGTTCGTGTTCCCGCCGACGCGGCCCGCCGCTCCCCCTCCCGCTACTCCGACCACTCACCCCGCTACTCCGACCGCTCACCCCGCCGCTCACCCCACCACTCACCCCGCCGCTCCCCGCCCAGCTACTCCGACCCCTCACCTCGCCGCTCACCCCACCACTCACCCCGCCGCTCCCCGCCCAGCTACTCCAACTGCTCACCCCGCCGCTCACCCCGCCGCTCACCCCGCCGCTCACCCCACCACTCATCCCGCCGCTCCGCGCCCCGCTACTCCGACCGCTCCCCCCGCCGCTCCCCCATTCCCGCTCAAGGTCTCCGAGGACTTTCAGCGGGCGCTGTCGGCGGTCGGAAGGCAACGTGCCGCCACCGCCGCCGCCGCCGTTCCCTTGCCGCCGAAATTTCCGCCGGAGTTTCGCCTGCGGCCCGGCTCGCCGCCGGAGCCGAGCGGCGCTGGCGGCTTTGGGGGATTCGCGAGAAGCGCGTCGCTGCGGTCGCGCGCCAGCGCGGCGCCCCCGCCGCCCGCGGACGGAGGCCTCGCGCGGAGCAACTCGTTCGCCATGCGGCAGAAGAGAAAGGGACCCCCGCCGCCGCCCCCCAAGCGCTCCGCTTCAGTCAGCGGCGGCGGCTACAGCGGCAGCAGCAGCGGCATCGGTGGCAGCAGCAGCAGCAGCAGCGGCATCGGCGGCAGCAGCAGCATCGGCAGCAGCAACAGCGGTCGGTCGGTAGGGGGGGGAGAAGCGTCGAGCAGGAGCGACGGCGGCGGGGACGGCGACGCGCCGGCAAACGTGCGACGCCTCGCCGCTCTGCTGGAGAGGTCGACGTTCGCCGCGTCGCTCGGCGGAGCGGCGCTCGTCGCGCCAGATCGGCAGCCGCAGCAGCAGCCGCAGCAGCAGCCGCAGCAGCCGCAGCAGCAGCAGCTCTGGCGGCAGCAGTCACAGAAGAGGCCGAGCGAATTGGCGGTAAACAACCCAAGCGTCACCGCCGTCAATCCGATCGGCAGAACTGTCAGTCCGAATGGGAGCGTCGTTTATCCGAAAGGCCGGACGGTCGTCAGCCCGAGCGAGGGCGGCGCCGTGAGTCCGGACAACGGTACCGCCCGCAACGCGGCCGGCAGAACCCTCGAGCGTTGGCCCTCCGTGTCGCAGGAGGCCGGGGCGGACCGCAGCGTCGACGAGCACGCGACGGGCTCGCGCTCTCCCGCTGCCGTCAAACCGCACGGCGCGACCGGGGGGGTGCCCACGCAGGTGATCCGGTGGAGCGGAGGGCGGGACGGAAGCGGCTCCCTCTCGGCCGCCGAGCGTTTGCCGTCGCCGCCGCCCGGCCGGTCGACGCGAGAGGCTCCGCCGGCCGGGCCGGGGTTCCTGCGCCCGCCGGTCGACCGCAGGGCGGCGGTCGGCGCGTTCGGCGCCAGCGGCGGCGGCGGCCGTAGCGTCGCCCCACCCGCGCCGCGCCTCGGCGGGACGGAGTCGGGCGCGCCGACGAGCCGGGGAGAGGACCGCTGGAGCGGCCGCTCGAGCGAGCGCTCGGCGCTCCGGCGCCCGGCGGCCGGTCAAGAGGCGGCGGGGCGGGCGCTCCCGTCCGGCGGTGCCGGGGACGTCGTCGCCGGGGCCGACGAGCGGCCGGGGACGCCGGCGCGGCCGTCGTTCGAGCGCCAGGTCTCAGATCCATGCCGCGGGTTGCCTCCTCCGCCGCCGGCCTCGGCCAAACCTCAGCGCGGCAATGGCGGCGTGCCGGCGGCCGCGAGGACCTACATGGGCTTCCCGTTGGCTCCCGACTGCGTGGGGCCAGAGGGCGAGTTCCAGAGCGGAAAGGTCGTGAGGTGAGTTGCGCGTGGGGGTTTGCGTCACACCCACGGTAGAGGCTTTTTGGGGTGAGATCGCGTAAATATATAAACGCGTCGTTAAACCCGCCACCACCCCAGCGCAGCCAATTAGTGAGGTTTGTCACGTGAACGGAACGTGCCGATTCGTTACCAGTACAGCAACACCGCTAGTGTGTTGGAGTGCAAAGCCACAACATTAACAATCTGAGCGCACGGCGTTTCGCCAGTAATTACAACCAGCTTCATCAGGCGGACAGCAGCCAGATTTGTGGAGAAGTCCTCCTGTCTCGTTCCTTAAACAGAGGGGTAGACGTGGAGGGGTAGACGTGGAGGGGTAGACGTGATGGCGTCACTTGTGAGCACTTCTTGCGCAAAGTTGGGGGGGAGGGGGCGGGATTAATGAATGAATATAAATGACAATGCGTTACACGTATGGCTGTTGAACGTGTACAGTGCACGGTACAGTAGTGTGTAGGATGCATGCGTGTCGAACTTTTGTCCGCACCGTACGTAGCCAACCGTGGCAATCCGAGGTGCCGGGTTAGGGGGGAGGGCACTCACTCACTGACTCCTCCACGCTCCCCGTGGAGCACGTGGCCACAACAAGCCCACGCCACGTGCCGGACGGTCTGGAGCAGCTTTCTCCGCTTCACCCCAAGACGGGCGCCCCCCCCCCCCCCCCCCACGGCCTTTCGTTGGTCTTGAACGGCGCCGTCGCCAGGCTGTCTTGGGCCTGCCCCCCCCCCACCCGTGGTTTCTTCCCCTGTTGGTGTCCACGGGAGGGGCGGCTTTCGCTATGGACCTGCGTTCCATTCTCAGCACGCGTCCCAGCCACCTGAGCCTTCTCTCCGTTACGTCCCCCCGCGTTACGCATCTTGAATCAGTCCTGAAGTACAGGTCCCGGTGTGCAATCTCATTCGGCGGGGTGGCGGTTTTTTGGAGACGACAAACTAAACTGTAAAAAGCAGTTCGAAAGTAAGTGAGTTTTCACTCCGGACGATTTTAAAAGGGTGGCGCGTCTTCGTTGGGCCGAGCGGCCCAGCGGGTGCGGCGATCCTTCGATTCGGGGTCCTGGGCCTCACCCTGAGGCCGACCGGTCCCTCGAACGAGCACATATGAGCCCGCGCGACGTGCTTGACCCTCGCCACATCCCACCCCCTCCCGTGTGCCCATGGATTTCAGATCAACCAGAGCAACACATTTGTTCGGTTTAAGCTTGTGACTTGTAATAAACATTTCCAAAAAATAACGATGTATAACTGTTGTTAGATTAGAAATTGTTGGGCTTCAGGGAAAATCCATGAGTCGTTATTTCACGTCAAAATCTCAGGAGCGCGGTTAATCCGCAAAATCGGATAAACCGCGCGTGTATTGTGTATTGACGGAATTGGGCACGGCACGGCAGACGTTCACGATCCTCTGCAACTGTGAGAGTGTCCTACGCTACGCCCCTTCGCTAAGAGGCGCACGCAACAGCGGCGTTGGTGGATCAAGGATTACGCGCGCGGCTGGGCAGACGCTGGCTTGGCTCACCGCTGCCGCGCTACGCTGGTGACGACGCTGTGTGTGTGTGCGCGCTTCCCCCTTGCAGATACGACGACGCGGAGCAGCAGCAGCAGCAGAAGACGCCGGCAGACATTCTGGATGACATTGGCTGCATGTTCGATGACCTCGCGAGCCAGCTCAACTCGATGCTCGAGTGAAGTCGGCCCGGCGACGCTTGGGCGACGAACGCCGGAGCCCTCGACGCCGACAGAGACGAGTCGACGGCTCCCTGCCCCCCCCGGAATCCACCTCAAACGCCAAATGCTGCTGCTGCTGGTGGTGGAGCTCGCCAATCGGCACTTGCCCCCGACACGACACGGGATTGAGGAGGGGGAGCGATCTTTTGTCGTTGAAGAGACTCTGAGATCGGTCCTCGTACGGACACCTCATCGTGGTGTCTCGTCTCGTCTCGGGCGAGGGCGGGGGGGGGCTGCCACCCTTGGTTCAGTCCCCAGGCCTGGTTGTGTCTCTCTCGCCAATCCCGTACGCCGATGAAAGAAACTTTGCGCGCGTTATTTTTGTGTTTAAAGGTTAACACGCGCGCTAGAAGCAGCAGCGCGCTAGAAGCAGCAGCCGCGCTAGAAGCAGCAGCCGCGCGCTAGAAGCAGCAGCCGCGCTAGAAGCAGCAGCCGCGCTAGAAGCAGCAGCCGCGCGCTAGAAGCAGCAGCCGCGCGCTAGAAGCAGCAGCCGCGCTAGAAGCAGCCGCGCGCTAGAAGCAGCAGCCGCGCTAGAAGCAGCAGCCGCGCTAGAAGCAGCAGCCGCGCGCTAGAAGCAGCAGCCGCGCTAGAAGCAGCCGCGCGCTAGAAGCAGCAGCCGCGCGCTAGAAGCAGCAGCCGCGCTAGAAGCAGCCGCGCGCTAGAAGCAGCAGCCGCGCTAGAAGCAGCAGCCGCGCTAGAAGCAGCAGCCGCGCGCTAGAAGCAGCAGCCGCGCTAGAAGCAGCCGCGCGCTAGAAGCAGCCGCGCGCTAGAAGCAGCAGCCGCGCTAGAAGCAGCAGCGCGCTAGAAGCAGCCGCGCGCTAGAAGCAGCAGCCGCGCTAGAAGCAGCCGCGCGCTAGAAGCAGCCGCGCGCTAGAAGCAGCAGCCGCGCTAGAAGCAGCAGCCGCGCGCTAGAAGCAGCAGCCGCGCTAGAAGCAGCAGCCGCGCGCTAGAAGCAGCCGCGCGCTAGAAGCAGCAGCCGCGCGCTAGAAGCAGCAGCCGCGCTAGAAGCAGCAGCCGCGCGCTAGAAGCAGCAGCAGCCGCGCTAGAAACAGCAGCGCGCTAGAAGCAGCCGTGCAGATACGAACGCGAGGGGGATCTTCGGCGGGCCCCGTTCGGCCCTCGCAAGGCGTGCCGGACACCGGGTAAAGGCGCAGCCCTGCAACTGCTCTCGCTCACGCAACAACCGCTGACGGCGGAAGGAGCCTTCCCCCAGATCAGAGCGACGTTTCTCAAACTTTGTTTCGAGGCCCCCCGCGGACCGCTCGGCCGATGCGAATGCGACCAGCCCACGGGCCACGCACCCCTGGGGACAGAACGCATTCCCGTCTCCCTCTGAATACCACAAATAAAAACTACGATTCATATTACCGGAACATGAACAAAAAATTCAGCAATAAGGTTTTTTTTTTAGGGCGGGGGGGGGGGGGGTGGAAATTTAAATGTTACGCTAAGTTTAATCAGGGTAGTTTGCCCAACTTAATTTTTTTATGAAATGAGTAAAATATTAAGTAATGACCCGAAACAAAAGATACAGGTACTCCTCTGCATATGAACGAGTTAGGTTCCAGGGGTCTGTTTGTAAGTCCATTTGTTTGCAAGTCCAACTTTACTGCTGTCGATTCCAAACGCGTTGTACGGCGTGTACACTAAACTTTGTTTTTTAAAGCACCCTGTATATATAAAGATCCCCCCGTATAGCCTTAACAGACTGTAGGGGCAAGTGCTGTTAGCGAGCACCTATGAAGGCCGCAACGGTACACAAGGGGGTGGGTGTGGCCAGCACCACGCCCGGCCGCCTTTGTCTCCCCAGTGGCGATGTTTACACACCGCACCAGGTACTCATTTGAGGCTGAGTCGACCTAGGGGAGGCCCAGGACCGGTTCAAATAATCGTCACTGGTGTTGGCCGTGAGCAGGAATCGAACTCGGGTCGCCGGGTTCATAGCGCAGCGCGCTAACCACTACACCACCGCTCCCCCTGTATACACACACACACACGGGACAAGCTGGGTGGGGTGGGTGTTTGGGGGTTTGGTGGTGAACCAACGCAGACCGGGCTGGCGGTTCGTGGTTGATGTCAAGTTGAACTTCGGTTTGTTGGACAATGACCGGGAAGGGAAAATAAGCATAACCAGTAAAAACAAAGTTTTTCACTATAAATCCTTTATATGCGTGGCGGCTAGAGTTCTCTCGTCCTCTGGCTTGAGATGGCTGCCACCTATGGGTCAGATGACTTGTCTGCCAGTATTAAGCAATTGGTAATTGAATATTTAATTTGTTTTCCCTAAACATTGTAAAATTTTGGAAAAAAAAATTTCACGAACATTAATTGTCTCGCACAACGAGTCTGTGTGCAAAATGTCAGCTCGATTGGATCACGGGAAGTGGGTTAAAAAACGACCGAAAGATTTGCACGGTCATAAGCAAGCAAGCATGCAAGCAAGTGGACTTAATATAAAGGATTTAAAAAAGAAAACCCCGCTGGGGTCAAGTGTGGGAACGCCCGCACTGTTCGAGTGCGACCGGCTTCACGTGAAGGAGTCGGCCACATCCCCATACCACATCTCTCCCCCAGCCCTACGCCATGCTCATCCATCAGCTCAGCTATCCGGCCACCAGACATACAGAACGTGAAGAAGCAGTGGCAGCTACATCTGCAGAACGTGAAGAACGTGAAGAACCAGTGGCATCTACATCTGCAGAACATGAAAAACCAGTGGCATCTACATCTGCAGAACGTGAAGAACCAGTGGCATCTACATCTGCAAAACGTGAAGCAATGGCATCTACATCTGCAGAACATGAAGAACCAGTGGCATCTACATCTGTTGAACGTGAATAACCAGTGGGATCTACATCTGCAGAACCTGAATAACCAGTGGCATCTACATCTGCTGAACGTGAATAACCAGTGGCATCTACATCTGCAGAACGTGAAGAACCAGTGGCATCTACATCTGCAGAACGTGAAGCAATGGCATCTACATCTGCAGAGCATGAAGAACCAGTGGCATCTACATCTGCTGAACGTGAATAACCAGTGGCATCTACATCTGCAGAACGTGAAGAACCAGTGGCATCTACATCTGCAGAACATGAAGAACCAGTGGCATCTACATCTGCAGAACGTGAAGAACCAGTGGCATCTACATCTGCAGAACGTGAAGAACCAGTGGCATCTACATCTGCAGAACATGAAGAACCAGTGACATCGACATCTGCAGAACGTGAAGAACCAGTGGCATCTACATCTGCAGAACGTGAAGAACCAGTGGCATCTACATCTGCAGAACGTGAAGAACCAGTGGCATCTACATCTGCAGAACGCGAAGAACCAGTGGCATCTACATCTGCAGAACGCGAAGAACTAGTGGCATCTACATCTGCAGAACGCGAAGAAGCAGTGGCATCGACATCTACAGAATGTGAAGAACCAGTGGCATCTACATCTGCAAAACGTGAAGAACCAGTGGTATCTACATCTGCAGAACGTAAAGAACCAGTGGCATCGACATCTGCAGAACGTGAAGAACCAGTGGCATCCACATCTGCAGAACGTGAAGAACCAGTGGCATCTACATCTGCAGAACGTAAAGAACCAGTGGCATCTACATCTGCAAAACGTGAAGCAATGGTATCTACATCTGCAGAACATGAAGAACCAGTGGCATCTACATCTGTTGAACGTGAATAACCAGTGGGATCTACATCTGCAGAACCTGAATAACCAGTGGCATCTACATCTGCTGAACGTGAATAACCAGTGGCATCTACATCTGCAGAACGTGAAGAACTAGTGGCATCTACATCTGCAGAACATGAAGAACCAGTGGCATCTACATCTGCAGAACGTGAAGAACCAGTGGCATCTACATCTGCAGAACGTGAAGAACCAGTGGCATCCACATCTGCAGAACGTGAAGAACCAGTGGCATCTACATCTGCAAAACGTGAAGAACCAGTGGCATCTACATCTGCAAAACGTAAAGAACCAGTGGCATCGACATCTGCAGAACGTGAAGAACCAGTGGCATCCACATCTGCAGAACGTGAAGAACCAGTGGCATCTACATCTGCAGAACGTGAAGAACCAGTGGCATCTACATCTGCAGAACGTGAAGAACCAGTGGCATCTACATCTGCAGAAAGTGAAGAACCAGTGGCATCTACATCTGTAGATCGTGAAGAACCAGTGGCATCTACATCTGCAGAACGTGAAGAACCAGTGGCATCTACATCTGCAGAACGTGAAGAACCAGTGGCATCTACATCTGCAGAACGTGAAGAACCAGTGGCATCTACATCTGCAGAACGTGAAGAACCAGTGGCATCTACATCTGCAGAACGTGAAGAACCAGTGGCATCTACATCTGCAGAACGTGAAGAACCAGTGGCATCTACATCTGCAGAAAGTGAAGAACCAGTGGCATCTACATCTGTAGAACGTGAAGAACCAGTGGCATCTACATCTGCAGAACGTGAAGAACCAGTGGCATCCACATCTGCAGAACGTGAAGAACCAGTGGCATCTACATCTGCAGAACGTGAATAACCAGTGGGATCTACATCTGCAAAACGTGAAGAACCAGTGACATCTGCAGAACGTGAATAACCAGTGGCATCTACATCTGCAGAACGTGAAGAACCAGTGGCATCTACATCTGCAGAACGCGAAGAACCAGTGGCATCTACATCTGCAAAACGTGAAGAACCAGTGACATCTGCAGAACGTGAATAACCAGTGGCATCTACATCTAACTAATCGGCAGGTTTTGTTTACGAGACAAACCCCTACCCTACGTGTCGGGTGGCGGCAGCTTTAACGACACATTTATATTTACGCGATCTAACCCCCCCCCCACCCTAAAAAAACCTTCTGTTTATAGATAAAGTTGGTCGCCAAAGCCTCCTCCTCGGACTCCTACGTGTTGAACGGACGACGCGTTGTATTATTGTTCTTCTTACGAGAGTTTAGACATGATGGGGCTTTTATATTTTTCTTCTTGGTTCTTTCAGTAAAGTCACGTAGAATGTCTTCTCGACAGACCTGTTCTTCACAGACAGACCTGTTCTTCACCTGAGGACGGCTGCTTGCGTTGTGGCCAAAACGTCGTGAGAATTATTTCATGTTTTATTTTTATTATTTTATTATTTCCATTCTACGTGACTTTACCGAAAGAACCAAGAAGATGAATCCCTGCAGTCACGAAAGCTTTAAATCGAAATGTTTTATATTTTTTAACGTTTATTTTATAACAGAAAAACACAAAACTTCATGTTTGTTGTTGTTGTTGTTGGCCCAAGCTGGCACAGATTTAGTCGTTCGTGCGTTTCACGTTGACTCAAAGCGTGCCGACGACGATAATGACGATGCTGACGATGATGCTAAGCTGATTTTATACAAACTCGCGGCGAATATAGCCAAATTATTGCCAAGCAAAGTTGAATGTTGATCAACTCTGGGGCGTGTAATATAGGAAGGTTTTATTAAATAAATTGAGTACGTTGAAACTTTCTTGTTTAAGCCATTGATTTTTTTCCGTGTTTTTTTTTATCTGCGTTGTGGGCCTGTGTACGTGTGTACTGTGCGGTGTGAGTGTAAAAGTTGAGTGTGTTTTCAGAACCGGCCCGAGACCTTTGGGGGCCCGAAGCAAAATTTGGTTGGAGGCCCCTTTGATGTATGATTTTTTTCACCCACTAGCTCGCAGTGACTCTAGGGGGCCCTCTGCTGGCCACGGGGCCCTTTGCAATTGCAAGGGTCGCTTAGTGGCTGGGCCGGCTCTGTGTGTTTTGGAGAGACGACAGGACAATGATGCGGGTGAGGAGGTGGCGGCGAGTGATGCGAGTGGAGGGAGAGAGATGATGATGAAGAAGGCAGAAGAAGAGGAGGAGGAGGTGGGGGGGAGGGTTGGTGCGGTCGATGAGCGGGAAGAGAGGTGGAGCAGGAGAGGGCAGCGTGGGGAGAGTTGTCAAGGAAAGGGGGACACACACCACGTGACATGAGAATAGGATTGACCTTTCTGGCAATAAAACAGGAGTTGATAATTGGTTTTTTATCCTTCTATCTGGCAACAAAACTGACACCTTTTTTATATTTGCGCCTTTTGGCGTCATCTGGTCCAACCCATGTGAGACTAGGCTCTAAGGAAAGCTGTCTCGGGTGTGGACCAATCAACTTCAAGGACAGTGCACATTATCAGTTATGTTTTTTGTTTGCATGACTGCAGGTATTGTGGTCTATGCAAACATGACTCCTTGTAAAAAAAAGTGTCAGTTTTGTTGCCAGATAGAAGGGTAAACCAATTATCATATTTTTTACTGGCAAATGAGGTTCCAATGGTGTAAAAACAGGAGTTGTGTGAAGATGTTAAAACACAAAACTGAAACCTTTTTGCGAGGAATCATTGTCTGCATTGACCACACAAACTCGTGAATATGCAAAAAAAAAACAAACACGCTCTGCGAGTTATATGATGCATTGTGTTTGAAACGGATTGGTCCACACCAGAGGACGGCTTTCTTGAGACCAGGGGTGGGGAACGTTCGGCCCGCGGGCCGTGCAAGGCCCACGAAATCATTTGGGTCTGGCCCTGCCAAGATAACCGCAGGCGGGACTCGAAATTCAACAAATCTAGGAGCAAACCTGGCAAAGCAATTTCGAGTAGCAGCAACATCATCACCACCAGCTAACATCATCACGCGCCTCGCCAATTAAGAGCAGTTCCAGCCCATCGCATTAGGGGTGAGTCAATTAAATGTTTGAGCAAATATAACGGCCTAATTTTTAAGTTGATAATACTGGTAAGAACGAAGTGAACCAGCCTACAATAGAATATATCGTCCGTCCGTCCGATGTCCAATTAGGTGTAGCAACATCGCCCCCTACTGCAAACACTTGGCAGGACCCTACACAAACCTTTAGACTCAGTGAGGCTTTCCTGGCTAAACAAGTGTAACATTCCCTTATAATTCCCTGAGATAGCTTTTAATTAAAACATTTTAATTAAAAATTAACTCACAGCGGCCTAAAGCCTACAGCTAGGCCTAAAGCCTAGAACTAGGCCTTAAACTCTCCCTTCGTATCGTACCCCCGCCATTTCATTTTATTATAGCCATTCATTTGTTCGTTCATACCAGCCCCACCCCGCAGGGACCTGTTGTGTATGGCCCGCAAATGATGTTTTATAAATATCCAAATGGCCCTTTTCAGAAGAAATGTTCCCCACCCCTGAGTTAGAGCCTCGTCTCAGCCAGCGTTAGCCCAGAGGACACCAACAGGCCAACAACATTGGGGGGGGGGGGGGCAGGCCGTGTGCTTAGACGTTTCGCTCTCAGATGCGAGTCATTCGTCTGGGAGGGGGGCACGCGGTGGGGGTTCGCCCCGGGCCCAGCAACACCCCCCCCCCGTTATAGACGGCCCCGACTCTGAATTAAAGGGGGGGGGGGCACGATGGGGTCACCCCGAGTCTCACCGTCCCCCCCCAACTTATGAACGATCCCGACTCTGAATGAGAGGAGGGGGGGGGGGGCACGTGGTGGGGTTCACCCCAGGCCCCCCCCCCAACTTATCGACGGCCCCGACTCTGAATGAAAGGAGGGGGGGGGGGCTTGCAGGAGGCACCGCGTCACGGCGGTCTCGAGACTCCCAGCGCAGAGCAGCGGCAGCCGTGGGAGAGAACGCGTCCGCCTCACAGAGAACCATTGGGAAGTGAATGGGGGGGGGGGGCTGTGGGGTTTGCTGGGGGGGGGGAGGTCACCAATGGTCTTCAATGGTTGGGGTGGGACATGGGGGGGGGGGGCCTCCAGAACCAAACTTGCCGATAACCTTTGACCAACAAAATAAGAGGGAGGCAGTTTTTTGTTATTTGGTTGTTAGTTTTTTTTTAAAAACCTTCAATATTATCAGAAGCCGCGCAATGCGAAATGTTGTGAACAACGAGATGGGCTGAGGGGCCCCCTTTGTTTATTAAGTCACGACACAGCTAGTCACTTAAAGAACCTCCTGCGCACGCGGCTAGCGGAGCGCGTCACGATGCCGCTACAAGCTCAAGCGCACCGATTGAACTGCTGGAATAAAAATGTAACAAGTATAACCCGTAAAAACAAAGTTTTTCACGATAAATCCTTTATATGCGTGGCGGCTAGAGTCCTCTCGTCCTCTGGCTTGAGATGGCTGCCACCTATGGGTCAGATGATTGCCTGCCAGTATTAAGTAATTGGTAATTAAATATTTAATTTGTTTTCCCTAAACAGTGTAAAATTTTGGAAAAAAAAATTCACGAACATTAATTGTCACGCACAACGAGTCTGTGTGCAAACCGTCAGCTCGATTGGATCACGGAAAGTGGGTTAAAACACGACCGAAAGATTTGCACGGTCCTAAGCAAGCAAGCAAACTTAATATAAAGGATTTAAAAAATAAACCACAAACCGGAATGAGAATCTTTATTTTGGGCTGGAGGAGGAATCCGATGAGTCGTGAAGCTCTTTCGCACGAGATGTCCAGTAGGGGCACACGGGAGTCGGCAAGTTGCAATAAAATACAAAACATCTCCCCCGTCTTTCGTTGTGACCAACCGGCCGTCAACCCATCATGGCCACGTTGCTCTCAAGGGGCAATTTCTGAAACGTCACCACGCGGCTGAGATCCTGGCTGTCTGCGTGTCTTGTTATTGGGGGGTCATAATGGCCGTGTCAAGAGACACTGCCAACACCGCTGATATCCTGGCTGTCTGGGTGTCTTGTTATTGGGGGGTCATAATGGCCGTGTCAAGAGACACTGCCAACACCGCTGATATCCTGGCTGTCTGGGTGTCTTGTTATTGGGGGGTCATAATGGCCGTGTCAAGAGACACTGCCAACACCGCTGATATCCTGGCTGTCTGGGTGTCTTGTTATTGGGGGGTAAATGGCCGTGTCAAGAGACATTGCCAACACCGCTGATATCCTGGCTGTCTGCGTGTTTTGTTATTGGGGGGTCATAATGGCCGTGTCAAGAGACACTGCCAACACCGCTGATATCCTGGCTGTCTGGGTGTCTTGTTATTGGGGGGTAAATGGCCGTGTCAAGAGACACTGCCAACACCGCTGATATCCTGGCTGTCTGCGTGTCTTGTTATTGGGGGGTAAATGGCCGTGTCAAGAGACATTGCCAACACCGCTGATATCCTGGCTGTCTGGGTGTCTTGTTATTGGGGGGTCATAATGGCCGTGTCAAGAGACACTGCCAACACCGCTGATATCCTGGCCGTCTGCGTGTCTTGTTATTGGGGGGTAAATGGCCGTGTCAAGAGACATTGCCAACACCGCTGATATCCTGGCTGTCTGCGTGTCTTGTTATTGGGGGGTCATAATGGCCGTGTCAAGAGACACTGCCAACACCGCTGATATCCTGGCTGTCTGGGTGTCTTGTTATTGGGGGGTAAATGGCCGTGTCAAGAGACACTGCCAACACCGCTGATATCCTGGCTGTCTGCGTGTCTTGTTATTGGGGGGTAAATGGCCGTGTCAAGAGACATTGCCAACACCGCTGATATCCTGGCTGTCTGGGTGTCTTGTTATTGGGGGGTCATAATGGCCGTGTCAAGAGACACTGCCAACACCGCTGATATCCTGGCTGTCTGCGTGTCTTGTTATTGGGGGGTAAATGGCCGTGTCAAGAGACATTGCCAACACCGCTGATATCCTGGCTGTCTGGGTGTCTTGTTATTGGGGGGTCATAATGGCCGTGTCAAGAGACACTGCCAACACCGCTGATATCCTGGCTGTCTGGGTGTCTTGTTATTGGGGGGTAAATGGCCGTGTCAAGAGACATTGCCAACACCGCTGATATCCTGGCTGTCTGGGTGTCTTGTTATTGGGGGGTCATAATGGCCGTGTCAAGAGACACTGCCAACACCGCTGATATCCTGGCTGTCTGGGTGTCTTGTTATTGGGGGGTCATAATGGCCGTGTCAAGAGACACTGCCAACACCGCTGATATCCTGGCTGTCTGGGTGTCTTGTTATTGGGGGGTAAATGGCCGTGTCAAGAGACATTGCCAACACCGCTGATATCCTGGCTGTCTGGGTGTCTTGTTATTGGGGGGTCATAATGGCCGTGTCAAGAGACACTGCCAACACCGCTGATATCCTGGCTGTCTGGGTGTCTTGTTATTGGGGGGTCAATGGCCGTGTCAAGAGACATTGCCAACACCGCTGATATCCTGGCTGTCTGGGTGTCTTGTTATTGGGGGGTCATAATGGCCGTGTCAAGAGACACTGCCAACACCGCTGGTATCCTGGCTGTCTGGGTGTCTTGTTATTGGGGGGGGGGGTCATAATGGTCGTGTCAAGAGACACGGAGCTGGCACCGCTGAGATCCTCGCTTCAAGCATCTGTTGCCGCGTTGTGATCATCACAGGATGCTGTAACACCGCCGCGTTGCTAATGCACCACGGAAACATCGCCGGGGACTTTGCTCCAAACCAAGTTGTGACTTAGATTTTTTGTTTGTTATATATATTAATTAAAGACGCACGTTTCTAATAAAAAAAAATAAGACAATTTTATCTTCTTTGTTCTTTCGGTAAAGTAACGTAGAAGGGAAATAATAAAATAAAAATGAAACATAAAAAAAGAAAAAAATGTAATTAGAAATAAAGCACTTATTTTATTGTTAAATTTTTATTATTTTAGTATTTCCCTTCTACGTGACTTTACCGAAAGAGCCAAGAAGATGAATCCCTGCAGTCACGAAAGCTTTAAATCGAAATTTAAGCCAATTTTAGTTCCACTTCTAACAGGTGTCACAACTTTTTGGTTGCCGGGATGTTATGCGCACACGCTCCGGCAACAACTCAACTTTGTTTCTCAACGGAAAACGGAACGACGATTCGTCCCCAACACGTTCCTCTTACAAACCAAATCTGTTCAGCGGAGCGTCCTAGAATCGAACGAACTCCCACCCCCACCCCCTGAAAAATCCGAGGTCCCCCTCCTGGAATCGAGTCTCACGGGACACCGAGACCCGGGCGTGCGGATACCAAACAGAGAGTCTCTCTCTCTTCCCAACTCTGCCACGACTCCCACCCGCCGCTTCTCTCTCCTCTCTCCGCCGCCCATCGCGACGATCTTTCTCTCCCTCTCGCTCGCTCAGGACAACGGCGAGGCTGCCCCCTCCCCGCCCCCCTTCGCCAGCCTCGCTCGCTTCGCTCCGTCCTCCTCGTCGTCGCTCGCCGCCTCGCCGGGAGGAGTCGGGGCGCTCCTCTTCACCGACGATTGTTCCGAGGCCTCTGACGAGGTTTCCACCGTGGGAAGTGCTGCTGGTTCATCCGACGCATCGGCACGCTTCGACTGCTCCTCTTGCGACTGATTCTGCTTCTGCTGTTGATGATCCTGCTGCTGCTGTTGCTTCTGCTGCTGCTGCCGCTTCCTCTGCTCCTCTTGCGACTGATTCTGCTGCGCCTGATTCCGTTGCTGCTTCTGCTGCTGCTGCTTCGGCTGTTGATGATCCTGCTGCTGATGCTGCTTCTGCTGTTGATGATCCTGCTGCTGCTGCTGCTGATGCTGCTGATGCTGCTGACGAATGAACCTCTTGTCCTTGCGCTCCTCCATTTCTTCGATGTCCTCTGCGAACAGGGCCTTGAGCGGAGGGATCAGTTTGGGGAGAATTGAAAAGTCCGAGAACCGGACCTGTGGGGGGGGGGGGGGGGGGGGGGGGGGACACGGCAGAAGAAGGAAAAAAACACAACGCACGAATCAGAGGTGGCCTTCAATCGTCGTCGTCGTCATCATCATCAAACACGATCAATCCACAGCTGGATGGAGGTCTGCTGCCCCCCTCTGCCCAAGCCGGGATTCAGCATCTTGAGACTCGGCTCCAGGAGACCGGGTCTCAGGGTCTTGAGACTCGGCTCCACGAGACCGGGTCTCAGTGTCTTGAGACTCGGCTCCAGGAGACCGGGTCTCAGGGTCTTGAGACTCGGCTCCAGGAGACCGGGTCTCAGGGTCTTGAGACTCGGCTCCAGGAGACCGGGTCTCAGGGTCTTGAGACTCGGCTCCACGAGACCGGGTCTCAGGGTCTTGAGACTCGGCTCCAGGAGACCGGGTCTCAGGGTCTTGAGACTCGGCTCCAGGAGACCGGGTCTCAGCGTCTTGAGACTCGGCTCCAGGAGACCAACCTGCATGTGGTCGAAGGTGACTCCAACGCGCGCCGTGAGGTCCTGGATGAGTGGGATCTTGGCGTATCTCTGGCTGAAGTGGTTGAGCAGCGTGAACTCGGCGCCCATGCGGACGCCCACGTCGATCGCCTGGGATGTGGTGCTGCCACACACAGAGAAGAGGGCCCGGAGTTGGGGGAGGTGGGGGGGGGGGAGGTGGGGGGGAGGTGGGGGGGGAGTGCGGGTTTTCTGGATTACAAGATGCTCGGGAAAATAAGACGCACGGCAGACCCTCGCGGTTTATTTGAACACAACGCGGTTTCACAACGGAAGCGAGGGCCACTGCGCTGAGACGCACGCACGGCACGCTGATACTGCTGCTAAAACTACTACAAATACTACTGCTTCTCCTGTTACCGTTACTGCTGCTACAACTCCTACTGTTATAAAACTACTACTCCTGCTGATTCTGCTACCGCTGTTGCTGCTGCTACTACTACATCCTGCTGCTACAACTCCTACTGCTGCTTCTGCTACCGCTGCTGCTACTACATCTGCTGCTACAACTCCTACTGCTGCTCCCGCTGCTGGTGCTACTATTGCTGCTACCGCTGCTGCTGGCACTGTTACTACTGCTGCTGGTGTTGCTACAACTGCTTCACTGCTGCTACGACTGCAACTGCTGCTGATACTACTGATGCTACTTCTACTGCTGCTGCTAATACTGCTGTTACTCCTGCCGTTTCTGCTACTACTGCTACAACTAATACGGCTGCTACTACTGTTGTTGCTACTCCTACTGCTAATACTGCTGCTAATACTAATGCTGCTACAACTACTACGACTGCTATGACTACTGCTGTTGCTATTCCTGCTGCTACTACTACTACTCACTATTACTTCTGCTACCACTGCTGCTCCTGATACCGCTGCTGCTGCTACTAATCCTGCTACTGCTGCTACTACTTCTGCTCCTGCTACGGCTCATCCTGCTACCACTGCTGCTACTGCTGCTACTACAGCTCCTGCTGCTGGCACTACTAATCCTGCTACTACTGCTGCTGCTCCTTCGACTGCTGCTGCCCCCGGCACTGCTGCCACTACTACTACTGCTGCTGCCACTACTACTACTGCTGCTGCTGCTGCTACTACTATTGCTGCTACTACTGCTGCTGCCACTACTTCTACTGCTGCTGCTACTACTACTGCTGCTTCTACTGCTGCTCCTACTGCTGCTACTGCCACTGCTGCTGCTGCCACTGCCGCTGCTGCTACTGCTACTCCTGCTGCTACTACTGCTGCTACTACTGCTGCTACTGCTGCTGCTACTACTGCTGCTACTACTACTGATACTACTGCTGCTACTACTACTGATACTACTGCTGCTACTACTACTACTGCTACTACTACTGCTGCTACTGCTACTACTGCTGCTACTGCTGCCACTACTGCTACTACTGCTGCTGCTACTGCTGCTGCTATTGCTACTGCTACTACTGCTGCTGCTACTGCTGCAATTACTGCTGCTATTACTACTGCTGCTGCTGCCACTACTACCGCTGTTACTACTGCCACTACTGCTGCTGCCACTGCTGCCACTACTACTACTGCTGCTGCTACTACTGCCACTACTGCTACTGCTACTACTGCTACTGCTGCTGCTACTACTGCTACTACTGCTACTACTGCCACTACTGCTGTTGCCACTACTCATCCTGCCACCACTGCTGCTACTACTGCTACTACTGCTACTGCTGCTACTACTGCTACTGCCACTACTGCTGCTACTGCTGCTACTGCTGCCACCTGTGCGTCTTCTCCAGAGCCTCCTCCTCCAGGCCGTCCTCCAGCGTCGCCTCGTGGATGAGCAGCGTCGCCCCCTTTCCTGCGGCGACAAAACGCGTCCACTCCGTGGGGGGGCGGGGCGGGGAGAGGGGGGGGCCTTCTCGCCCCCCTCCCACGTACGCGCACACGCTTTGCTCAATCCACTGCTGGATGAGAGCCTTGCAATTTTTGATGTCCAGTCCCTGGGTCCATTCTGAGAACGTGACCGATGTCTCGTGCGCGTGATGTTAGGACGACCGGGTGTTTTGCACGGTTCGGTGTCGTGGATTTTGTTTGGCCAGAAGATGACGACGATGACAATATAATCATCCCACTCGTAAAGCGGCTTTTCATCAACGATCTCAAAGCGCTGGACAGGACGCAGCAGCAGCTGCAGACACTCAGCATGAAACTTCGACAAAATTGCAAAATTTCGATTTAAAGCTTTCGTGACTGCAGGGATTCATCTTCTTGGTTCTTTCGGTAAAGTCACGTAGAAGGGAAATAATAAAATAATAAAAATAAAACATAATAAAATAATTCTCACGACGTTTCGGCCACAACGCAAGCAGCCGTCCTCAGGTGAAGAATGAAACACCACCAAGGTTGGAGCGTATATTTAAGCTGGGTTGGAGCTTAAGCTGGGTTGGAACGTCGTGAGAATTATTTTATTATGTTTTATTTTTATTATTTTATTACTTCCCTTCTACGTGACTTTACCGAAAGAACCAAGAAGAAAAATTGCAAAATATTTTAAATATCGCGTGGCAGGCAAACGCAGCAGCGTACGAGGTACGATACTGTACGTTGGGACGCTGCCGGGATGTACGCATCTCCCGCCTTGTGTGGTGATGCCTCTCACTCTCACCAGCAGAGTTAAGTTGTCTCGGTGTTAAAAGTTTTTATAGCAGATGGGATTGTTTCCTGAAAAAACTTTCTATTAAATTGCAGTTCATATAGGTGGGCTAAGAATTTACCTTGTTTTTTTTACTTGACATTTTACTGTGCAATACAGTATTGTAATTACTAAATACATACAGTATATAGTTTTTACAGTACAGTACTGTAAATTGCTCTGTTTTGCTAAATTATCACCATTCTTTAAGACTCTTGGGTAGGCTAGGCCATCTTCGACTTACGATATTTTTAAATCCTTTATATTAAGTTCGCTTGCTTGCGTGCTTGCGTGCTTGCTTGCTTGCTTACGACCGTGCAAATTTTTCGGTCGTTTTTTAACACACTTCCCGTGATCCAATCGAGCTGACATTTTCCACACAGACTCGTTGTGCGTGACAATTAATTTTCGTGAAAACATTTTTCCAAAATTTTACACTGTTTAGGGAAATTTTTTAAAATATTTAATTACCAATTGCTTAATGCTGCAGACAATCATCTGACCCATAGGTGGCAGCCATCTCAAGCCAGAGGACGAGAGGACTCTAGCCGCCACGCATATAAAGGATTTAGAGTGAAAAACGTTGTTTTTACGGATAAATTTTTTTTTGACTTACGATGGGGTCGTCGTAACGCATCTCCATGGTAAGTAGAGGACTGCCTGTAATAAGCTGCAGCAGATTGCCCTGAGGCATCCGTTATGGAAGGCCAGCGAGTGGTTGCGGCCACCAATCCCAAACCATCGACTGCCCACATCGTAACCACTCCGCCACTGCCGATGCCTTTACTGCTTTAAAGGTGGAACGGACGACGATCCACTCCTGCTTCTGAACAGACAATGGCGTTGGATAACAACATCTCAAATTGCATCTTTAACCCGACGCTATTAGTCCGTACGAAAGAAGGAGAAAGATGAAAAATGAAAGGAATAAGAAAGGAGGGAGGAAGAAATCCATACTCTTTGGTTCTTTCGGTAAAGTCACGTAGGTAGAAAATAAAACAAATCACTGTGATTTATTTAATTTATTTTTGACCTAAAATAAAATAAATAACTGTGATTTTTTCATTTATTTTATACCTAAAATAAAATAAATCACACACATAAGAGTATGGATTCATGAGTCACGAAAAGCTTCAAATCAAGAGGAAGAAATCGTCGCCCCCCTCCCGCTACCGTCAAGGGCCCTCTTGCAAGCGCGACTAATCCTGGTCTTGTGCGTGCCCACCCCCGTTAGGTAAAAGAAACCTAAACCTTGAGAGAGAGACGGCAAGAAGGAGGGTAACACCGAGACCCGGCAGCTCTTAAAAATCAAGATCCTCTGATTCGAGATTTGAGCTTTCGTGACTGCAAGGAATCATACTCTTAGTTTTTCGGTAAAGTCATGTAGGTGTGCACCAACAGGTGCTTGTGCACAAACAGGTCCACGTGCACCTGTTGATCTCTTTTAGCGCCGCTCCCCCCCTCCCAATACGTTCCATTCATTGACTACCACATTCTGATAAGCCCCCCCCCCCTCTCCTCCCCCTCAACTTGTATTTAAGAGCCTGCATCTTGGAATCTCTGCCTCACTTGATGCAGCAAATCTGGCTGTGACGGTCCCACCTGATGACGGAGACTTGTGTTGCCTCCGAAACGTCGTGATTTTTATTATTTTATTTTTTATTAATTTTTATTTCATTTTTTACCTACGTGTACAAGATCCTCTGCCCCAGTGTCTCAGACGCGGCCGTTGCGAGCCAGACGGGACGGCCACGAAGCCGCCCCCGGAGTGTCCGCTGCCTGTGACCACGTCGTGGAACCGTCTCTCCACATGTAGCAACATTTCAAGCGTTCTTCACGCAACCCACCGCGTGGAGACACACAGATATACACCAAGGAGACATCAACTGCCGCTCTGTTATTTACGTTCTCAGCAACAATGCAAATGATTCCTCCCCCTTGCTAACATCACCCCCCCCTCCATCTCCCTACCATCGCCCTCCCTCACCATCCTCCCCCTCACCCTTCATAACCTTGCCCCACGCTTGCCCTATCACCACCACCCTTCCCTTGCCATCCCTTCCCCTCCCCAGCACTCAAACCCCATCTCCCTCTCCCCATCAGCCAATAACGAATGCACGCTGTGTAATCCTCGCAAGGAGCTTTGATGAACGGCACGACATTAAATCCGAGCTAAGATTCTTTCGCGCGATGTGCAATGTCATTTTGCGTGTGTGGGACACATCTCAATAAGGGAGAGTTTTCTTTGCCCATAAATATCTGGCAGTTCACCGGCATTGATTCCAGCAAGCTTGAGTCTGCTGATGAGACGCTGTGTCGCAATTCCGCGTGCGCGTTGAACTTCTGTCGCGCCGTACGCAGCCAAGCGCGCTAATCGCAGGCGCGGGGTACAAGGACATCACAACTATCGCCCATCCCAGTATCACGGGCAAGGCCGTCGTGAAACCCCTGTGGCTAAATTCTAGATTTGAAGCTTTCGTGACTGCAAGGATTCATACTCTTAGTTCTTTCGGTAAAGTCACATAGGTAAAAAATGAAATAAAAATTTATAAAAATAAAACAATAAAATCACGACGTTTCGGAGGCAACACAAGTCTCCGTTATCAGGTGGGACCGTCACAGCCAGATTTGCTGCATCAAGTGAGGCAGGGATTCAAGATGTAAGCCCTTAATTACCAGTTAAAGGGGAGGAGAGGGGGGGAGGAGCTTATCAGAATGTGGTAGCCAATGAATGGAACGTATCGGGGGGGGGGGGGGGGGCTAAAACTCGCTCGAGCGGGGAGTGACGGGAGGGAGGGAGCCTCACCCATGCTGATGAGCGCCTCGCAAGGCATCGTGTCTCCCGAGAACACCACTTTCCAGCCAGACGCGTGAGTCAGCGCGCATCCAAACGCGTTGAAGCAGTGGTGCACATAGCACGTCTCAAACTGCACACGCGCACAAAGACAAAGATCCCGCGCCGCCGCGTATAGCCTCAACGGACTGTAGGGAGCAAGTGCTGTTAGCGAGCAGCAATCGTGAAGGCCGGCAACACACAAGAGGTGGCTGGGCACCCATGCCGGGCCGTCTTTGTCTCCCCAGTGGCGATGTTTACACACCGCACCAGGTACTCGTTTGAGGCCGAGTCGACCTAGGGGGAGACCCAGGACCGGTTCAGATAACCTTCAATCGGTGTTGGCCGTGAGCGGGAATCGAAGCCGGGTCGCCGGGTTCGTTACGCAGCGTGCTAATCGCTACACTACCGCACAGACGCACGCACACAGACACACACACACACACAGACACGCACGCACACAGACACACACGCACACGTACACACACACACAAATAGACACACGTACACACACAGACACATGTACACGTACACACACAGACACATGTACACACACACACGCACACAGAAACACACGCACACACAGACACACAGACATGCATGCACACACAGGAGAAGCCCTGAAACTGCTCGCTCATGCGACTGCCGGCAGAAGGGGGCCTCTCTCTCACCACTTCTCGCAGAGGTTCGCAGTCGAATCTGGTGGCTAGGAGATGTTAACTACCTCGCCTGGTCTACAGGAGGTCGTGGGTTTGATCCCGACCCCGACGCCTGCTGCTGT